GAGAGAGAGAGAGAGAGAGAGAGAGAGAGAGAGAGCTTCATCCTTTAACTCAAGATAACTCTTTTTGGCTGAACCCTTTGGTGCAGAGTAAATTCCGAGTCATAACAAGAGGGAATTTTTGCTCTCAAAATAAACAGACAGATATGGCTTTGTAGAACTCAATGTACCTGGCTATACTACTAATATACTGTCACCAATTTGAAGAAAAGGAAAGAAAGGAAGAAGGAAAGAAAGAAAAAAGGATCTTACTTAATGCACAGCAGATTCACACATTTTTTTCTTTTTTTTTACATAACAGTTTGGGTGAATGAAAGAGAAAAATTATGTACATCTCTTGCACACACGCACACACACCCATCATCCTTTTTGCTTTGTACCAAAAACCTGATTCCACCACCAATATGTATCTTCCAGTAACCATCTATGGTACCAACAAAGCAAGAAAACCCATCACAGTCACTGGACTACAATTTTCTCTATATGTATTTGCATGTTCAACATGCATCAGGCTTGAGCTGTAAAAGATGAATAGGTTTCTGTCTGTATGCACTAAAGTAATTTTCAAACTGGTTCACTTTTACCTGGGGAAAAAAAATCTGAATTTCACAAAAATATTCTTCTACTCACACTCTTCACAGCATTATCAAAACACTGATCAACAGAATAATGACAAGAATCTACATAATGTCAGATGTCTGCACTGACCAACAAGAACAAAACACACCGACACTAATCTTGTGCGCGTCAGAAGATCTAATCCACAGAGATAAAGTACGGTTCTTTACAATGAATACTTAAGAAATCATTCACTCACTTACAAGAAAAAGAACCCTAAAGGCAGACTTGTACTCTCAAGATCTCTCCCCTTTAGAAATGAACTCTCGTAATCTGGACGAGGCAGATACCCTATGGCACTACCAATAACTTAATGCTTAATGCTCACATGTACGTGAAGTAGGTGTATCTACAACTCTCGAACATATTAAAAAATAATGTCAGTAAAAAAGAAAAGGGGAAAAAAATCAGTGTGTAATTCATATAAACAGCATAACATACAAAGAGTTTAATTGATATCTTTCTTTTTTTTTTCTCAAATAAAAATTCACAAATAATATTAAGGTAAAGATTGATTAACGCAATAGAGATAGACACTGAAACATTTTTAAAAATATATACTTCATCTAAGAAAACAAAATAAATGATAAAAAAGAAAGTGTGTATACAGTGTGCAGTAACCAGAAAAAAATCTTGTAAAAAGGGGGAAAAAAAAGGTTACACAATGTTGTGCGATGACTGGCATCTCATAGAAATTCTTGAGCAATGCCAACAATAAAAAAAAAAAAACCCTACTAAATATGTACATTGGACATCCACACAATTTCTTATAATTGTGCCTTAAAAAAAAAAAAATTTACATAAAATTATTTTCCCCCTTCATCTCATCCTAATTCCGTAAAGCAAATCGGCACTGGGAAAAAAGTAACGTAGAGGAAGAGGCGAGTGTGGTGGTGGGGTTGGGAAGGGGTGAGTGGGGGAGGAGATAGGAAATGAGAGAGGATATGAGGGCGAGAGAAGGAATGAAGAGGAAAAAAGGAGAGAGAAGAGGAGAAAAGGCAGAGGGACAAGAGAGTGAAAGGGGATGAGGAGGACAGGAGAGCAGAGATGAGGAGAGAGGGAAAAGAGGCGAGGGGGAGGAGCGTTGGAAACGGAATTCCTGATTGGCCTCCTCCTTCATGACGAAATTAAAAGGCAGAATGAAAAGGTGTGTCAAAAAGCAACAATGATGATAAAAAGAGGCAGAATCGTAAAAAAAAAAAAAAAAAAAAAAAAAAAAAAAAAAAAAAAAAAAAAAAACGTATTAGAAATAACAGTCTATCTCTTCTGCATATGCATTTTTATCAATTTTCATTATATATGTACATATATATCTACATTTTAGCTACCAAAAATGAATATTCACATTCTCTTGATATTTCTCATATTCTATTGCACAAATCACCGCACTATGAAAGCATTCACGGAAGAGTAACATGTTTCCAGATTACTAAATAAAAGGATATCAATACCAGGTGCTGAATAAAATCAACCCTTTTTCTCATTTTCTGATATATCACACACAGCATGTAATATGTATATATATATATATATATATTATATATATATATATATATATATATATATATATATATATATATATATATATATATATATATGTATATATATAAACAACATTTTATAAATATCTTATATATATATAATATATATATATCTATATATCTATATATGTATATATATATATATATATATATATATATATATATATATATATATAATATATATATATATATATATATATATATATATATATATATATATATATATATATATATATATATATATATATATATATATATATATATATATATATATATATATATACACACATCTTTTTTCTCTGTCACATTATCAACATTTTCATAAATAATCTATGCCCTACATACAACCACTCAAACATATGTACAAGAACAAATACTCATGCACGCAAGCACACACTCACTTACTCACTCACTCACACATACAAACACACAGTCACAGACACACACACAAGAAAAACCTTATTCCTCATCATTACATCTTCATATTGTTCTGTGACTGTCCTGAGACAGAGCCTACGATCCATATCTTCACTCTTCGGCCCGCTCTAGCAGTGGAAACTAAAAGTAGAACAAATATTCATTCAATACACAAGACAGCTGTAAATAAGGCAACTGCCATGAGTATGACTTTGTAAATGAAAGTTGATGTTGGTTTTGAATTGTGTTACTATTTTGAGATGGATTTTAACTAGACTTTAAGAGTACTTCTTTTATGTTATATAAACAGAAACATGGGGTTTCTTTCTAGCATCTACTTACTCATTTTAGTTCAATCATTGCATAGTCCAAAGAAATTTGTGCAATAAAATAAAAAATATCAACAGATCATGAGAGAAAGGAGGACCAACAGAATGAAAGAAAAAATGCATAAAGAAGCAACGTGAAAAGTAAAAAAATATACAACAGCAAACTGGCAAGGGAAAAAAGCTCAAGACATTCCTAAATCTCACATCTGGCAGGTATTTCTTACTGTGAACATACCACAATGACACATTTGCCTTCAATAAAACATCAAAGTTAATTCAGTACGATAAAACACTCAAGTAAACATTACAAATCCTTTAACATATAAATATATCTGTAGGTACATTCGTATGTAAGCATGTAAAAATTTATATAATGTATATGTGTGTGTATGTGTATATGCATGAATATACAGGCATCACAATAAGACACACACAGACACATTGTGTGATTTGTATGTGAATTCCTATCCCAAACAAACCCTCGCTTTACTACCCTACATTTGGCTTTCTGGCGACGCCCACCTTAACTGCTTATCTAAAGGGATGAGGTTGTACAGCAACGGCTAATCTTTTGTACCATTCCGAGTTTTGCAAGGCAGATAACAAGCACAAAATGAACTACCAAGTAATACCTGTACAAATAAATCTTGTTATCTATATGTAATGACTGGTTAGAAATATAATTTTTTTTTTCTCGACTAAAACAAGAATACAAAGAAAAAATGCAAACAGTAAAGACAAAATATCATTACAAGCACCTAAAGGAGTGAAAATGTTAACCCACTGGTAATGATACTCGATCTCCTGGATTGTCAACCTCTATTGACCTTACTTGACCTACTAGCCACACCCTAATGCTAACAGCCAAAAAACTGTTCTCTTGATAGCAGTCAATGCTTACTAGAAAAAAATAGACTGTTACTGCACCTTGTTGAGATGACAAGCCTAGAAAAAATAATGGCCTGGCTCCCTAAATTTACACTTTGTTCTACCTATTATCAGAAATTTGACAGAGAAAAAAAAATACTGAAAAGAATGAAAAAGGAGAAAGTGGTAGAGAATGAGGAAGAGAAGATAAAATATAACATGCCTGGATAATGTTACAGGTAGTATCTGCACTGGTAAGACATAGTAACAAAATAGATGTAAGCTGCACTTCAAAGTACACTCAAAGGAGAAAATCTATCTTCTCCCTTGTACAAACATTTTACACTTTCTTCTCAAATAATGCATCTCCTTAACTACCAGCTATTGTCAATCTGTCAGCCAGAGAAAAAAATGCTGCAAATCAACAGATTTCTATGTCTAAAATAAAAATAACAAAGGAATTACCATGATGACTAAAAATAAAAGAAATATAAAGAACGAGTAAAAAAAATAAATGACCAAGTCTTAAACCAGTCTATACATATCTCTATATACACACATATGAAATAAAAAAAGTTACTAAGTCAATCAATTAAGGAAAAGTTAATTACCAAATTAATCTATAATCTTGTGGTATCACTGATTGCCAACTGAATTAACAGACAGGGTACAACACACACACATGTGAGCATGTTTGCCCACAAACTGCAACACACACACACTCACACACAACCACACACGCACACACACACACACTTAAAATAATATTTGCAAGTATGGCAATGAATTTGCATATCAGTGCAGAGAAAGAGTAAAGTAGAGGAGGGGAGGGAGATAGGGGAAGGGGAAGGAGAGAGGGAGAAAAGGAGAGGGATGGAGGGAGGGAAAGCGAGGAAGTGAGAGAGAGAGAGGGAGAGAGAGAGAGAGAGAGAGAGAGAGAGAGAGAGAGAGAGGAGAGAGAGAGAGAGAGAGAGAGAGAGAGAGAGAGAGAGAGAGAGAGAGAGAGAGAGAGAGAGAGAGAGAGAGAGAGAGAGAGAGAGAGAGAGAGAGAGAGAGTGAGAGAGAGAGAGTGAGTGAGAGAGACACAGAGACTGATACATACTTGAACAAACTGCAGGACAATTAAGATTTCAGTGTGCAGCTGAATAACTCTTGCATATTTTTCCTTTTTGTTAATCTGCAAACTAAATACCTTTGACGTTCATTAGTTGTTTTGTTTGTTTTTGGTCTATTTCAATCTTTGATATTGTAGTTATTCAAAGTCATGCATGGAGAACTGCAACACGTAATATGGACTTGGAACAATTTTCGTAATCTTGATCCATCTTGTTTGTACCTACTACCTATCTCCCGGAGCACATTCAGCATAAGCTTAAATAACATTCACGGCCCTGTCATGCATACTCGTAATGAGGGAGCGGTTGCTGGTGTTTGAGGGTACTGACGGCTGCACTTCCAATCGTAATTATTCTTCCTCCTCAAAACATCTGACAGTTAAAAGTGTATGTACAGAGAACATCGAGTGATTTCCAACACGTAATACGGAGTTGTACATCTTGCCATTCTCCCAAACACCGGCCAACCTGCTATGTTGAGGTTTATGGGTAGTGTGCAAAAAATGAAAACAATAATACTACTAATAAAAAAAAGAAGAGATAATAATGAAATATAAAAAGATATACTGTATATTACAATATGTGTCAGTCAACCAACTGCTAATTCCCAATTCACAAGTATAAAACTTACTATTTTCCAGGACTAAATTTATATATATATTTCACAGCATTGCCGCATATCCAACTCCTTAACTTGTACATTTTCTTTTTAATTGTATTATTTACAGTAGAAAACTATAACGTTCACAAAATTTCTTCCTTTTTTCTCTCTCTCATAACACCACACTTAATACACAAAGCTTATTCTCGTCGCTTTTTCTGTGATCTGAATATCAAAGTATAAACAAAGAACTTACAAGTCTCGCAAACTTCAGGCAGTCACACGAACCGCAACTTAAAAACCTTAATTCTTTTATACAAAGGAAATTATACAAAGAAACAATACATATAATAATAATAATAAAAAGGATGATAATAGTAACAAATTATAATGATTACAATCATAATAATAATAATAGTAATAATAATAATAAAATTAATAATGTCAATAATAGCAACAATAATAATAATAATAATAACAGCAAACCAATGACATTATTAATAAAACTCACTCTTTTTGTATCTCATATCAAACACAGCCCCACTATTTGCACTAAATTACCTCTTTCTGCGGCAAAGCTTTTTGTGTTCTTTGTGCCAATGTACCTGCTGGCACTCAATCGAACAGTAAGCCGTATTCCAGCAACAGTGGTAGATTGCCTCAGCTTCGCATGTCCAGCACTGCAACATTAAGAAGAAAAAGAGATATTAGTCATGTTCCTTAGGCAACCCATCAATCTGATTATGCTGGGAATCGCTGGACAACATCCCATTACAACACTTCCCTGGTGCTAGGAAGACGTCACTGTGTTATGTATGGTTGGGCCTGCCCTAAGTTATGTACACTAAACAGTTGCGCACTTGTTTGTTCTTGGCTGGTGAGAAAAAGCCTCTCAAAAGTAGACTTAAAGCCTCCTTTTAGTCCCACTACCTAAAAAATACTTTATGTCCTAGCCAAGAGTATTGATATCTTATGTTACTGTTGTTATGATTGGGTAAGGGCCTCCTTACTATTTACCCTAGGCTACATTCCATCACAAAAGTACTGCCACAACTTATCAGCCTAATGATCACTTCACCCAGTGATGACAATGATGCTGGGAAGGCAAAAATGTATGTTGTATCCACTGTGATTTAAGTTCATTACTTTGTTAAAACATAGATGGCTCCAGAAGTGTTTACTCACCAAGGATTCAATCATTAGTACTACCTATCTCATATATTTACTCTTTTCTTTAAATTTTGGAGATTCTTTATTTCATTATTGCTACTAGAAATGTTATTACCTTTATAATACTCAGAATGTAATATATCAGTACTGACTGCATCAGAAAAAGATGTCTTTCCAGAAAATCTCAAGGAACAGGGAAATCAAGTGAGGTCTTGTAGGACTACTAGTTCCTTGGAGATCGAGTACTTGCAGAGCCTTCTATGTGCAAACAAAATTCACCAAACAAAACTATGGTGATGGTGCACATACCTGGTAGTCATGGGCTACCAGCAATGACAACCTCAAACACTCACCCACTGTTTCTTCTTGGTGTCCGAGATGATGTGCTTGTGCTTGTCTTCAATGTCGGAGATCTTGTTCCTGTACTCTTCCTTGACTCTCTCCATCTCCTTCTCCATCTGCTTCATCGTTGACTGGATCACCTTTTGTTTCTCACTTTCGTACTCTCGGCGGAGCTACATCGGGCAAGAACATGAGGGTGTGATTCATTGTTTGGGTAATGTGAGTAAATGAAAGATAAAATAAAATAAAAGAAAAGAAAAAGAAAAAAAAGAAAAAAATCTAATCATACATCAATCTTTAAATATATTATATCAAACCCAGAAACCTAATAACTTCCTGAAATTAAATATTCACAGAGTCAGTATTCTAAAATAGAAAAGAAGCAAGAAGAGAAAGAAGAAGAAGAAGAGGAAAAAAAGAAAGTGAATGGAATATTGTCTTTACTACATACGTAATAGAGTAGAATATACCTACTGGTAATGTTTAAGAGAGAGGATGACTAT